CATCTCTCCTTCCTCCCTTCCCCCCTCCCTTCCTCCCCTCCCTTCCCTCCCTCCCCTCCCCTCCCTCCCTCCTTCCCTCCCTCCTTCCCTCCCTTCTTCCCTCTTTCTCCTCCCTCCCTCCCTCCCTCCTTACCACCCTTCCCTCCCCCCCACACACACACAAGAAAATAAATGAATACATCCTTGGAAAATTTCATTAATGAATTAATATGTCAGTGAACTGGGTATTGTTTCATCTGTAACCACCTCATGTTTAAGCTTAAGTGATACATGACAACCTTAGTAACCTTATATCACTAAAGTTCTGCAACAAAAGTAAACCTAGCAATGTGGTTGTCTTCAACAAAGAACACAGAGCAGTCACATCTGAGGAAATATTTCCTTCTGTAGAAATTTGACATCTCTGTGGACTCTCCTTTTAGAGCACAGATTCCAGGGCAGATTTTGCTTCATCTTTCTGAGGTATTGTCTTTGGTGATTGGAGCCTTCAAGTCCCTGCATGACCTTATAGCAGAGTATGAATTCAGTTTTTATGTTCTGTTTCAAATCTACTCTGCTTAAAAGGGTTTGTCTTTCCTGAACAATTATCAGCCACTATCCTTTCATCTCCCTCTCCCTTCCCCTCTCCCTCTTCTTCCTGCTGTATCTGTCCCCTCACTTTGTAGAATTGTTTTCATAAATAAATTAGATAAAGCTCTCATACTATGCTTGAAATCTCTTTTATTCTCGCACTTTCTCTATATTTCCCTTTCTGCTGTACCCTTCATAATTTCCTCAGATCTTCTAGGACAATTGTCTCTCTAGCTTAATCAAATCTACTGCTGAAGCAACCCCATGAGATATCCTATTGTTTAATTGTGCTTTTATTCTTAGAAGTCCCCGTGGGTCCCCCTCCCTGCTTCCTTGCTCTTTCTTTCCTTTCACCTGTCTGGTGAGGCTTCCACTCTTGAGTGCTGCTGGGTTTTTACCATTGTGTCAGTTTCTTGTATTTCTATTTCTTCTTTGATCTCTAATGACTTGAAACATTTATAATAGGCTCATTGATGGACTTTAATACTTTTGATTTTAGAAACTATGTCTGTTGTGGATTTGACTCCTAGTTAGAGTAGATGTTGCCTCTGGAGTTTAATAAATTTGGACTATCAACTCCTTCAACATGGCTTTATTTGGGAGAATACTGTGAGATCCATGGTGAAGGTGTGCCTTCAGCTTTAGTTCATTTTTGTCAGACATTGTTCTGGGGCCCTTCATAGTTCCAAGCTGTTCGAATACCCCACTGTTGCTTTAATGGAATCCAAAAGCTACTTAAGGGATGACACTAAATAGAAATCTGGTTTGACTCCCCCACCCATTCATGCTGAGGCAGACTTGCCCTGTCTCATTTATCTGTGTGCTTTAGTAGATATGCTTAGAACCTTCTGACATTTAAATAAGGGTCTTTGGTACAACCTTTCATCTTACTAGGATACATAGCTATGCCATCCATCTTAACATGAGGTTTAACTGTCAGCATCTCTATACTAGCTCCTCTCAAGCCTTAACTGACTACACTCAGAATGGCTACTTAACTGACTACTCTATGGAATGACCACTCTTGTTGTCACAGACCTCCTTTTTGAAGGAGATGAGAGGGGGCCCTGGGTGTTTTCTTCAACATTCTAAAAAATTAAGCTACTTATTTAAAGGAAATTTTTCATATCCAGTATTTCCAGATGACCTTTGATATAATACCTTTACCATAAACATACTGAGATCTCCTAAAGACAAAATAATACACTCACCCTCCTTTGATTTTAAAAAAGACTGCCTTCATGTCATAGGGTGACCCCACAAAGCTGTCTGACAGCTACTTTGGGAACTGTCTGCTTTACCCTGGGGGTTTCCTGGTAGCCACATTTCTATTATTTTGTCCACAGGAGGCCTGAATGTGAATGGCCTCAATGTCTCAAACTGGGTCAACCAATTACTTGCTTATAAAATATGGAACTTAACACACTAAAAAAACTCTTGGTCCTCTACCTTTGAATCTTTTTGTTTGGTTTCAGATGTCTATATGTAGCTTATTTGTATAATTATCATTTTTTGCTGTAATATCAAGAATAATATTTGCTATTTCTTCAGACAGTTTAACTGGTTTGATTTGTACATACAATAGTGAATACAAGTCTGAATGGATGCTGTAGGAGGAGCTAAGGTGGGAGGAGTAAGGAGAGGAAGAGGGAAAGGAAGAGGAAGAGATAGAGAGGGTAGAGATGTAGGCCGATGAAGCACCATGCAGGTATGGAGAACAGTAGCGGGTAACAACTTATATTTAGGTTAGCTAATTGAGAAACACCTCTAATTGTATGGGCATATTGTTATTGTATATTACCAAACATATAAAACCTTTAATTATTCTTTAAGCATTGGAGTTTCATTCATACTGGGTACCACATGGATGGAGGGATGGTCTTGGCACAGCCCAACCATGTAGAGACAGCATAGAGTATTGGCAGAGCCATCTCCCACACTGGTGTCTCGTGGGGTGTCAGGGCTGCTATTTTTAGCTGGCCATTCCTAGCTGTGGTGTGCACGTGGCCCTTGGCCGTGGAACATGGTGGCAGAGCTAAGCAGAGCCACTTAAATATCTCCCACTACAGGATGCAGTAATATCAGCATCTCCAAGCACAATCAGGCAATCACTATATAACAACAACAGAAACAACAATAATAATAACAACACCTGTTTTGCTTTTTATGTTTACTTTCAAAGCAACTTCAATATCTAATTGCAGCAACTCTGTGAGGGGCAGAGATTATTTTTTTTTAAATGTTCCACATTTATAACTGTGTATAAAAAAGATTATCTGAATATGAAGGAACTCAGAATTTAAGCCTGTGCTTTTTTTTTCTAGAATGTATGTATGTATGTATGTATGTATGTATGTATGTATGTATGTATATGCAGGAATTGGAGCAGCATCAGGTTCACAGAAAAGGTAAACATACAAGAGTTAGCTAGAGAAAACTAAAGGGCCTGGTGCCTACACCTACACACAGTCCTCTTTGGACACAGTGTTCCTGCCTTGGCTCCAAGGTAATATCATCTTGTAACACACTCTTTCATCAGCAATGACAAGCAGAAAGTAGAAGTTTGTTTATTTAATATTTATGGGTGTTATATATGCCAAATTTCTGCCAGGAATAAGCTAAGTGGTCAGAGCATAGCTGTCTTTCTACCTTTGTTCCCATCCACATTTTGGTTTGTCTATAGTCTTAATCAATGCTATCTAGAAGGTTTGCTCAATTAAAAAAAAATTAAAAAACAATGATTGGTCTTGAAAGATGACTAGTGCTTGTCATTCAAGCAGGAAGACCAAGATTTGAGTTCCCAGAATCCACGTAAAGCCAAACATAAATATATCTGTAGCCTCAGTACTCCTATGGTGACAGGAGGCTCCCTGGGATGCCATGGGTCAGCTAGCCTGGCATTCCCAGTAGAAAAACAACAGAGGAACCCTGACTCAAATAAAGTGGAAATTGAGGACTGGCACTTGAAGTTTTGCACACCCATATTCACACACATAAACAGATACACACACACATGCAAACTAAAAAAATGAAAAGTACATTTCAAATTTTAAAATATTTATGCTGTACAATTGATGTCACTTCATCTACCCATCTGCAACTGGTGGTGTGTGTGTGTGTGCGTGTGCGTGTGCGTGTGCGTGTGCGTGTGCATGTGCGTGTGCGTGTGCGTGTGCGTGTGTGTGTGTAGCACAGTTTCCATATAGCCCAAGTTAACTGACTATGTAATTCAGGCTAGCCTTGATGATCATTTTGCCTTAACTTCCCAACTGCTGGTATTACATGCATATCCTACCAAGTCTCAATTAACACATATTTTTATTTCTGATTTTCTGATGAATGAAAATTTTCCAAACAAGTGTTTCACTCTGGGGAACTGGAGATGAGGAGCCCTGCTCTACACTGAGATGCAGCCCTGTGACATCCCATACTGGAATGGGATAAGGCTTTGAAGCACAAAATATTAAGCAATCTAATGGTAGTTTGTCAGTCAATAAAGGGTATACCATGCCATTATATTTAATGTCAAAATGTAGAGGCAGGGGGAATAGTCACCTGTGAGCATCCACCATGAAGTCAAGTAGAAAAAAAGACAGTAGCTAGCAGCAGGAGAGGCAGAGTCTAGAAAGATAGTGAGCCTGACAGATAAATGCCTCATCTATTAAATGAGACTTGGGATTTATTTTTCTACATAATAATAGTATTGCCACCTCAACTCCTATCACCATTGTCATAGGCTAATCAGAAAAGCAACTAGAGGTCTCCAGAATTTGACAGGGGAATTCATTCTAGTCCTTAGGTTGCACAAATGAAAGATATAGAGGCTTTTCAAACTCCACACTGTACAGAAGCTTCATTCCCTGTGGATGTTTCATGTGTTCGTGGTCCTCAGGTAGGAAGCTGAAATACAAACAGAACACATATAATTACATAGATACATAGCATTATCCATCTCTGCTTAGAAAAAGCACATAGCTTGGTCCTCTGGGGGCAGACCTAGATACCCAGAGAGCCCCGCTATCACCCCACTTCAGAACTCCATTGCCCAGCCACCTCTCTGTTCATTAAGTGCCTTTATAAAAAAAATGGAGAGTTCTCATACTAATGATATAAAAGTATACATGAAAGGTCCAGGGGGAAAAAAAGAAAAGCAAACACACCCAAGAAGAGAAGATGGCAGAAAATAATCAAACTAGGGGGTAAAATCAATCAATTAGAAACAAAGAGAACAATACAAAGAATCGACAAAACCAAGAGCTTGTTCTTTGAGGATATCAACAAGATAGACAAACCCTTAGCTAACCAAACTAAAAGACAGAAAGACAGTATCCAAATAAAATCAGAAATGAAAAGGTAGACATAACAGACAACAAAGAAATTCAAAGAATCATTAGGTGTTACTTCAAAAGCTTGAGTTCCACAAAATTGGGGAATCTAATCAAAATGGATGATTTTCTAGATAGAACCACATACCAAAGTTAAATCAAGGTAAACTATTTAAACAGCCATATAACCCCTAAGGAAATAGAAGTAGTCATTAAAAATCTACCAACCATAAAAAAGTCCAGGGCCAGATGGTTTCAGCACAGAATTCTACCAGACTTTCAAGGAAGAGCCAACACCAATACTTCTCAAATTATTCCACAAAATATAAACAGAAAGATCACTGCCAAACTCATTCTATGAGGCCACAGCCACCCTGATACTTAATCACACAAAGACTCAATAAAGAAAGAGAATTTCAGACCAATTTCTCTTATGAACATCAATGCAAAATTGCAATCAAAATTTTGCATCAATGCAAAATCAATAAAATACTTGCAAACTGAATCCAGTAATACATCAAAAATATCATCTACCATGACCAAGTAGGCTTCATCCCAGGGATGCAGGGATGGTTCAATAGATGAACAATCCATCAATGTAATCCACCATATGAATAAACTGAAAGAAAGTAATCACATGTTCAGCCTGTTATATGCTGAAAAAGCCTTTGAGAAAATCCAACACCCCCTTCATGTTAAAAGTCTTAGAGAGATCAGGGATACAAGGCACATAACTAGACATGATAAAAGCAATGTACAGCAAGCCAATAGTCAACATCAAATTAGATTGAGGGAAACTTAAAACAATTCCACTAAAATCAGGGAAAGGACAAGGCTGCCACTCTCTCCCTATCTATTCAATATAGTACTTAAAGTTCTAGCTACAGCAATAAGACAACTAAAGTAGATCAAGGAGATATAAATTGGAAAGGAAGAAGGCAAAGCATTGCTATGGTATGATATATATGATATGAGAGTATACATAAGTGACTCCAAAATTTTACCAGAGAGTTCCTTCAGCTGATAAACACCTTTGGCAAAGTGAATGGATAAAAATTAACTAAAAGTAAATCAATATCTCTCCTTTATACAAATTATTAATGCACTGAGAAAGAAATTAGAGAAACAACACCATTTACAATAGCTACAAATAAGATAAAATATCTTGGTGTAACTCCAACCAAGCAAGTGAAAGACCTGTATAACAAGAACTTAAGTCGCTGAAGAAAGAAATTGAAGATATCAAAAGATGGAAAGACCTCCCATGTTCATAGATCAATAAGATTAACATAGTAAAAATGACCATCTTACCAAAAGATTGCAAATCTACAGTTCAATGGAATTCTCATGAAAATTCAACACAATTCTTTACAGATCTTTAAAGAAAAATTCTCAACTTCATATGGAAAAACAAAAAAACTAGAATAGCTGAAACAATCCTGAACTGTAAAAGAACTTCTGGAGGTATCATCATCCCTGATCAAAAGCTGTACTACAGAGCAATAGTTATCAAAACTGCATGGTTTTATATAGCAATAGACAGATTGATCAAATAGAATCAAATCAGGAAAGACCCTGAAATAAATCTGCACACTTGAGTTTTGACAAAGAAGCCAAAACCATCTAATGGAAAAATGAAAGCATCCAACTGGATCTCTCTATATAGAAGAATGAAAATAGATCCATATCAATTACTCTGCACGAAACTCAAGTCCTAGTAGATCAAAGACCTCAACATAAAGCTAGATACACTAAATCTAATAGAACAGAAAGTGAAAATTAGCCTTTGATCTCATTGGTACAGTAGACAACTTCCTGAACAGAACTACAATGGCTCAGAATCTAAAATCAACTATTGATAAATGGAACCTCATGAAACTGAAAACCTTCTGTAAGGCAGAGGACACTGTCAATAGGACAAAGTGGCAGTCTACAGATTGGGAAAGGATCTTCACCAAACCTTCATCTGACAGAGTGCTAATATCCAAACTTTACAAAGAAATTAGACATCCATAATCCAAATAACCCAATTAAAAAGTGGGGTTCAGAGCTAAACAGAGAATTATCAACAGAGGAATCCTGAATGGTCAAGAAGCTCTTAAAGAAATGTTCAACATCCTTAGTCATCAGGAAAATGCAAATCAAAATAACCCTGAGATTCCATCTTAAACCTGTTATAATGGCTAAGATCAAAAACTAAGTGGTAGCACACGCTGGTGAAGATGTGGATCAAGAGGAACACTCCTCCATTACTGGTCGGTGTACAAACTTGTACAACTCCTCTGAAAATCAATTTGGTGGTTTCTCAGAAAATTGGGAATAGTTCTACCTCAAGACACAGTTATACCACTCCTGGGCATATACCCAAAAGATGCTCCACCATACCACAAGGACACTTGCTCATCTATGTTCATAGCACCTTTATTCATAATAGGTAGGAACTAGAAAGAACCTAGATGTCCCTTAATTGAAGAATGGATAAAGAAAATGTGGTATATTTACACAATGGAGTACTCTTCAGCTATTAAAAACAAAGACATGAACTTTGCAGGCAAATGGATGGAACCTGAGATTATCATACTGAGTGAGATAATTCAGAACCAGAAAGATACAGATGGTGTATACTCACTTGTAAGTGGACATTAGCTATAAAGTGGAAGACAACTGTGCTACAATCCACAGACCCAAAGAATAACAAGGATAACAAGGAGGGCCCAAGAGAGGATGCCTGAATCTCACTCAAAAGGGGAACTAAATAGTAGTTGGAGGTGGATGGAGAGAGGGAACTGAGTAGCAGAGGAGGTGAGAACAGGAATGGGGATGACAATCAGATGTGGGAGGGAGGCAGAAGAGGGCTGTGAGTGAGAATGGAAACTGGTGGGGGAGTGCGTCTCTACCTGGAGACCTGGGATGAGAGAGGATACTAGTTTATGGGAGTGACTCTAGCTTAGATTCCCATCAGAAGGGTATATAGAGACTGAAGTGGCCACCTCCTGTAGCCAGGTGGGACTTCCAAAGGAGGAATGATACTTTGCTATGCTTGCAGACAGTAACCTAGCATAACTGTCTCCTGAGAGGCTTCATTCAACAGCAGATGGAGACAGATGCAGAGATTCATACCCAAATATCATGCAGAGCCCAGGGAGTCTTGTGGAAGAGTGGGGGATAGAAGAGAACAAGTCAGAGGGGTCAAGGACACCACAAGACCTACAGAGTCAATTAACCTGGGACCATGGGGGCCCATGCCACCAACCAGGGAGAATGTAGAAGCTGGACCTAGACCTCCTACACATTTGCAGTCTTCCAGTGAGTCCCCTAACAAGTGGAGCAGGGCTGTCTCAGTCTCTGTTCCTTGACATTAGATCCTCTACCCCCTATCTGGACTGCCTGGTTGGGCCTCAGTGGGAAAGGATTCCTAGTCCTGCTGGGATATAATCCCCAAGGTTGGTGTGGTACCCAAGGGAGGCTCCCCTTCTCTTAGGAGAAGGGGAGGGAACATTTGGGAAGGGATTTGTAAGGTTGAGACTGGGAAGAGAGGAAGGAGAAGTTGTGATCTGTATATAAAGTGAATTAAAAGGAGAACACATACTTTTTTAAAAGCTAAGATAGATAGATAGATAGATAGATAGATAGATAGATAGATAGATAGATAGATAGATAGATAGAGTCCATTTGCATTTGGTTGGTCAGTTGAAAGTTACCCATAGCCCCAATTAACCACTTCATATGTATATCTATGTTTCTCTGATAAATCAAATTAGGTCCAGATGATAGCATACAAATAAATGATGCTAAGTGAATTTTCCAGAATGACACCCTAAGTGATAACTGGTAAATCTAGAAACTAAAGCCACACCTCCATGACTGAATCTGGTCTCCCCATGCAGGCTAATGTTATCAAGATGACCATGACCTGGTTAGTTTTGTCAACTTGATTAGAACTAGAGTCACCTAGGTAGAGAGAACCTCAGTTGAGGATTTGCTTGCATCAGATTGGTCTATGGCCATGTTTGTGGGGATGTTTTCTTGATAAATAATTGATGTGGGAGGACCTGGTTTACTGGGAGCTGGGTCACTTCTAATCAGGTGGTCCTCACTTACATAAGAAACCAGGTTGTGTAGGCTATGCAGAGCAAGCCAGTAACAGCTTTCCTCCGTGGCCTCTGCTTTAGGTCCTGCCTCAGGGTTCCTGCCCTGACCTCTCTTAATGATGAACTATAACTGTAAGCCAAAATCTCCTTTCCTCCCCCAGGTTGACTTGGTCAGTATTTGATCACAGCAAGAGAAACCTAACCAGAACAGAGGCCCTTAGGTCATTCATAAGCCCTAACGTTTTGATTAGAAAACAAAGCAGAACTAGTTTCCTCCAAGTGGCTGCCTCTCCCCATTTACAGCACCGTAGCTCTAAAATCCCATTTCTTGGAAGTAAATTCAAACATATTCCTGCTGCCTGCTTTGTATTCATTATTCCTTTCTCATGTCACTGTTTTGCACATTGTATTTGGAGTTTCACTTAAATAAATGGTTATATTTTTCCTCTCACAATTTTTTTCCCTTAAAATTTCTCTTGACCAATGGGCCATTAGCCTACCTAGTTGGTTGGCATGAGACATATGCTAAACATTTTTATATCTCCTTTACATTCAATCAGGATATTTATAACTAAGGTCAAGTTGCTGTCACCTTCAATAAAAGGTGAGGAATAGTGACTCTCAACCTTGGGAGTTACTTGGAGATGCGTTAATAGACATCGTGGGATCTATTGCCATTATTTCTGAACCAGTAGAGCTGAAGAGAGACCAAAGATGCTGATCTAGGGATGCCGTTGGGGTCTATAGATTACACAATTCTAATCTCATTGTGGATTTCTTGTCATCTATGGAATATATATATATATATATATATATATATATATATATATATATATCCCTTTAAAATAAAACAGAGAGAATGTAACTATGGAGATTCTTGGTCTTCATTTTACCTGCCAGTAATGATGTGGACAAGAGTCTTTACCCATTCAGCATAAGGATTTAAACAAATTAAATCCCCATTTTTCAGTGTTGCTCTGTAAAAATAAAGTATTTTGGTCAAATAGCAATTGCACTTATTTACTAATAGGTCAGGTGTTCTCACTGTAATATCTGCAACATGGATGCATACACTTCAAATGAACACATAGATTTTTTCAAACTATATTAATCATATTGGTAGAGTGGAACTTTTAACACATAACAGTGTGCCTAACTAATTTAAAATGGCAGTTTGGTTACTTTTTTAAATCTAAAACTCATGATTTATTGAAATGAGGTGGCTTCACTGTGGAAAACTCTATGCCATTTCTTCAGAGATGTGGTTTGGTTGTGCATTTGTTCATGCACATGTGTGTGTTAAAGTGTGGGTTGCTGGCCTCAAACTCACGCTGACAGGCTCTACTTCACAGAACTGCAAAACTCTACAATAGATCAGGATTGTTTTGTAGTTTCTTATATAAGGCTGGATCATCTTACCACACTTTAAGCCAAATTGTATGCTTCAGAGGGTTAAAAAATAGCATAAACTAAAACTTTCCAATCATGAAAAATAACATAATCAAACTCTTAGCAATTGACTAACATAAGAAAAACCAGCCACAAAGTATTGTATGTAATGGTGCAAATTTGAAAATATTTGCTTTAAACACAGAAACAAGACAAGTGAGCCTGCCCTCAAAACAGCCATCTCAACAAGACTAGAAAGATAATTAAAAGTCATAAAGTTCCCAAGGGAGAAAATGAGACTGTCTTTAGTCCCAGACAGCATGAGCATCCATGTGAAGAGATGATGCCAACAAATGCAAAGCAAATGGATGCTGAGTCTAAGCACTGGTACCCAGGGTGTGAGATTTATTAGCATATTTTATAATAGCATTCAATTATGTAAAGTGTCTAATTGAGTAATGGAGAAATACTGAAGGACATTAAACAAGCCCTTATCAAGTGTGGTAGTGCACACCTGTAATCTCAGCAACCAGAATGGTGAGTTTGAGGCCATTATCCCTCTCATGGTCACTTAAAATGAGCACACAGAGTCATAGGAAGAGCCCCTGTCTCAAAGTATAAAATAAGAGAATGTAAATGTTATCAGTGAATAAGGAGCAAATCCATATTCTTGAAACAAAAAATTGCTGTTATAAAGCTTTCAACTTCCAGGATATAACTCCAAAGAATTACATTTGTAAGTATACTTATTATATAGCAAAATTGAAAACTGCTTCTAAGATTTACATGAATGACCAGAAATCCTAGGAGAAACAAGTTATATCTGAAGAAAAAAATGGAGTTGTCCATTCCTGTTATGCATAAGGCTGAAAATTAAGTCTCTAGAGGAATAAAATTGAAGATGTACAAATAGTAAACTCAATAAGAAATTCTCATATGAATAAACACATATAAAGAATGTGTGTCATAACAAAAACCTAGATAGGACACGAACTTTTATTTATTCAATACATTATTGAATAACTGAATTCTATTAATGTTTATGATGATGATGATGATGAAATACTATTGTTTCAACTTAATACATGAGCTAAACACAGCAAACTAAATGGATTGCAAAATATGATGTTAAGTAACAGAAACATGTTACAAAAAGATACATATATCCCAGTACAGTTTCCCTAACTTCCAAGTTTAAAAGCAGACAAAATAAACAGTAATTATTTTTAGTATTACATCTGGATGGCAAAGAAAAGAACAAAAAAGCAAGAAACAACAAAATTCAAATTGTTGCCATTTCTTGCAGAGATATATAATTTTGGAAGCATATAATTTGCATGGCTGTCGTAATATACCTGGCATAGAGTGACTCAAAGAATAGGAATGTGCTTTCTTCAAATTCTGAAGACTCTCTTCAAGGTACTGACATGCAAGCTTACTTTTTCCCCAATGTCTCTCTATTTGGCTTACACATGACCAACTTCTTCACACTTTCCCCATGGTCCAAGTGTTAACACTGTCTTACATCAGGGACTGGAGATGATCCCATGGTTAAGAGCACTGGGTGCTCTTATAGAGGACCAGGGTTTGATTCCCAGCATCCACATGGCAGCTCACAATTGTCTGTAACTTGAATTTCAAGACATCCAATGCTCTAATCTGGCCTCGATAGGCATTGCACATATGTGGGGCGCACACATACTCATACAGACAAACCCCAGGGGATAGGAGGGTGGGTAAAGGACACAAGTCAGCTGACAAAAACCAGTCACCTCTGGAGGCTTCTGCTGTTCTAGTTCCTTTGTAACTTAAATTTTTCCCTGAGTAGCTAATGCATGGGCAATTACCAAGGCCCCATAGCTACACTTCCATGTCCTCATACATGTTTATATTTGTGGCAGACAGAAGCCCACCCAGTTTCTCAACATTTCACAAAGAGGCATTGTGTTATCTGCTATATTAAGTTACAAAAGGGATTGTGAAGATACAACTAACGTTACAAAACAACAAAATAAACAAAAAAAGGTATGTTCAAATGCATCTCACGTAATATCCAGAGCAGTCTTCTCTGGTTGAAATCAGAAAAGAAAGTGGCTGGGAGGGGAGACCAGTGCAGTGTGAGGTACATTTTCCATTGACTATATCCAGAGAGCCAAGTGGAACAAGAATAGACTCCGGGAGTTTAAAAACAGCACAGACTAACAGCTTAGATCAGGAGTTCTCATCCTGAGAGTCATGAACCCTTGGGAGTTGGGAGGAGGTTAAATGACCCTTTCACAGGGGATATCTTAAGACCATTGGTAAACATACATTTACATTATGATTAAGTAGTAAAGTTACAATTATGAAGTAATGACAAAAATATTTTCACAGTTGGGGGCCATCTCAACATGAACTGTTTAAAGGGTCACAGCATTAGAAAGGTTGAGAACCACTGGCCTAGAAAGATGTTGGGGGGCTTCAGCAAGGTGCTAAATTCTACCAGCAGCCTAAGTTGAAAGCACAGCCCTTCTGAGAACCTCTAGATAAGCCTTCAGCTTCGTTGAAATCCTTCATAAAACAGTGAGCAGGCATGTTTCTCTGTGGCTTGACTGTGGTCTGGATGATAAACCCAGGACAGCTCCAGTGCCTTGTCACGTGCTCATTGGAACTCCATGGGTTGCCTCTTCTCTTCTCCCACTTTCTCTTCCCAATCAGCAAAGCAGCAATCCTAGCCACTCAGCAGGCTGAACTACAGAATGTAGAGCAATAGCTACATTCATTTTATAGTCTATTGTGGTAATTTGTACCTAGCAATGAATAACTGAGTCACACACATTTAGATAGACAGGTAGGTAGGTAGGTAGGTAGGTAGGTAGGTAGGTAGGTAGCTAGATAGCTAGGTAGCTAGGTAGCTAGGTAGCTAGATAGCTAGGTAGCTAGGTAGCTAGGTAGCTAGGTAGCTAGGTAGCTAGGTGGCTAGGTGGCTAGGTGGATGGATGGATGGATGGATGGATGGATGGATGGATGGATGGATGGATGGATGGATGGGTGGGTGGGTGGTGGGTAGGTGGGTGGGAGGGTGGGTGGGTGGGTGGCTGGGTAGGTGGGTGGATGGATGGATGGATGGATGGATGGATGGGTAGGTAAGTAGGTAGGTAGGTATACATACATACACACATACAAACATCATACATACATACATACATACATACATACATACATGGATGAATACATGCATACATACACATACATACACACATACATGGATGAACACATACATACATACATGCATACATACATACAAACATACATACATACATATATAGAACAAAAGTTATAACTACTGAGTTAAGGGATTTCATACAGTCTGTAAGGTCTGTAATTGCAGATTAATGCCCCAGAAATATTGGCCTAGAGTCATTAAGCTATATTGTATGTGTTAGCATACGCAAGTGTATAATGCAGAGATTCCTTTTTTTCTCATAAAATAAAGCAAACTTACTGCAACGGCTTCACTATAACATTCAATATAGCCAATATACAAAAGAAAACAAATTTTCATTTGCAGGGCCTTTGAGGAAGGGATTGTCCTATTGTTTGTAAGTTCTGGGGCTGGGAAGTCACTGATAAATGTGTACTGATATTTATTTTGGCAATAAATTGACTCAAAAGTTAAAAAATATTGAAATTATAATTGGTAATATTTTTGTAAGATCTAAATTTAGTGCATCTAACATTACAGCAACAGTGTACATAAGAATGTATTAATCAAATCTATCAAATTTTTAAAACTATACCAAGCATCTATCATGGTATAATATAATCTTTCATGAAAAAAATATATGTGTGTGTGTGTGTGTATCATTCATTGATGTAAGTATATGTATACATACATACATACTACATACATACAAACATACATACATTGATGGTTCCCCTTTTCTTACATTCTTGCCCATGGCCGTGTATTTTTGCTTTTTGAGTATTCACTGACTTCAAAATTAACTTTTCTCAGTAGAGCTTATGAAATCTACTGTCTTCTCTGCTTAAGAGCTGCCTTTGGTTTGTGGTTTGGTTTGGTTTGGTTTGGTTTGGTTTGGTTTGGTTTGGTTTGGTTTGGTTTGGTTTGGTTTGGTTTGGTTTGGTTTTTTTGATCTGGTTTGGTTTGGTTTTTTTCTGGAAAGAGTTCATGCCACTTTTAGAAATGAGGACACAAATGTAGGGCAATAGTTTTCCCATTCTGTGTGGGAATGACATTGTCCAGACCCACAGTCTTTTTTCTCTTCATGTAACAAAGTGCTTCTTACTCAACCTTCCTAATGCTGCAGCTCCTCAATACATGTTGTGGTGACCTCAACCATGAAATTATTTTTGGTGCTACTTTACAACTGTAATTTTGCTCCTGTTATGAATCATAATGTTAACATCTGTATTTTCTTATGGTTTTAGGCTACCCCTGTGAAAGGATTATTCAACCCACAGGTTGAGAATCACTGATGCACATTCTGAAAGGAGATGCCAGCCAGGAAACTTTCATGCAAGAGCCCCCACCTTCCTGCATGTCTTTACTACTTACATCACTTCCATTCTGTTGCAGTAAATATTCATGAAAATCACTTGGATAGTTTTAATGAATTTGAGAGAAATTGGCTCAGACTTCATCTGAATACACTGACACCGTAACTCCTGAGTGTCACAGGGATGGGCTGTAGGGGAAAGAGTAGAGAACATCTCCGCACAAACAAATAAGTCGCTAGTGCTCAGGTATTTACTTTGACTTAGGAGCCAATACAGCAGGCACGCAAGGCAAACACAGAAGGCTGACTGTATGATCTTATGACAAGGAAACACTCTTTAAGCTCCTACTGTGTTTGAGAAAACTGCAAATAAACTAGGTGACTAGCACCTTGCTTTAAGGTCAGATACAGTCAGTAACTAATGGTAAAACACTTACGCCTTCATGATTATGTGTAAATTTTATCAATTGAAAAGTGACTATTTCTATCAGCTTAATACCCTAAGTCTGTTGGTAATAATTCTGCTATAATCAACTCTAAAAACAAAAGCATAGACTCTTATTGTCAGCTGGTTCTAAGAAGTCAAATAGAGGCTTTCAGTTAACTCACTAAGACTTAACTTCAACAATCTAAATGCTTACAATCTAAAAGCTTAGGATTTAATTTAACCATTTCTATAGTTTGATTAATGGTCCAAAACACCTCAGTATATTTGAAATGTCTTCTGGTTTTTTTTCCCAGTACCTAGATAGAAAAGAAAAATGCCCCATTAGCTTACCAAAGATATCTAGGTTAAGGATAGCCAACAGAAGCACGGGCCATTGTGGAGCAGCCATGTCTGTCTGTAGTGCGACTCTGGTCTGGATGGTAAAATCAGCACAGCCACAGTGCTTCTTTATATGCTCCCAGCAGCCCTGGGGATTTAATTTCTGTTATTCCACTCTCCCCACTGAAGAAGGAAAAGTGTCATGCTTGCCAATTCACCAACCCATAAGGAGGGCTTATTTTTCAAGCTTTGTTTAACTGATAAGCTGAGAGCAGGTTGAGATGATGTATATGGATACGAATCTCTCATTTCTTGGAGCAGAAACTGTGTAAATATAAGGAGTCATTGTCGTTGATGAATGAGACCTCAAGAATAATTTCTACAAAACCTACTTTGTGCAAAGAAGGGAATTAACACCCTTTCCCACAGCATATTTGCTTTTGGCTCTTGTACGTGTTTGTATGGCCCTGCTTGAAATTTTAATAGAATTTACTGCCGTGAAATCATATTATAGCATCAACTACAAAGGAAACAGAATCCAGACTGAACTAAACTAGTAAGTTTTATCCTATCAAGAATAGAAGACTACAGCCATTCAGGGGTTAGTGTGCATAAGTTTCTTTGGGCTTCTAGATTAACCAAGTAGCAAAAGACTATGAAATTTACTCCCTTTGCTCTTAAGCAGATGACTGATCTTAATTATTAAAAATAAACTGTTCCCTGCTTGAATATATATATAATAACATGAGCTACCACAGCCAGAGGGTAGGTGGTCTAAATGGCAGCAATGTTTTGACTTTTAGTGACTTCAAGTCCAAGATCAAGGTGTGGACAGGGTTGGTCCTTTTCTGGTATTACAAGGGAAGGAAATGCTCCAGGCATTTTTCCCTCAGTATATTCATGGTTGCCTTCTTGATCACAATAGTGTTTTCTCTATATGAATGCCTATACCCAAATGTTCCCTTATTATATGACACTAATAATATTGGATTAGGGCCCATCCTATTAACTTAGTTTAACTCAATTGCTTATGTTTTTAAATGAAAAAAAGTTTATGCAATTATATTTTGATCATGTTTTTCTGTTTCCCTAGTTCCTCACAGATCATCCCTATCTCTTTACTAAACCAACTATCTAGTTTCAGGTTCTTGCTCATTTTAGTAATGCCATGTATGGCATGTGTGGGTTCCATCTCATGGAGTAGACCCTGAACCCAAACAGAAACCTGTTAGTTACTCCCCTAACAGTGGTGCCACTATTCCATTAGTGTACCCTGTAGGTCGGTCACTGTTACAGGTGACAGGATTTGTAGCTGAAGGATATTGATGATTACCTTTCTTCCCTAGTAGAGTGCAGAACATCTTCCAGTACCGTGAACTCTAGTCAGCAGGAGCAAAGATTCTAATTAGGTACCAGCTCAACCTCTCTGTGTTCAGTTACCCATGTTAGTGTTGTCTTCAGGAATAGAACCTACCATGTGGTTGTAAAGTGTAACCAACAGCCTTGGCAATAGCCTGTGATGTTTGGGGATTTCCATAGGGCCATTGGACCAATCATTAAACAAGATGTAACCCAGTCCTGGCACTGGAGGTTTTACTTGAGGGAATAAGATGTCTAGTTGGGACGTTGTCTTCCCCATTGCCCCAGTTCCTTCCCCAAAAGAATCAATTTAGATTTCTTTAATATGTGTATGTATTATAGGAAGTATCTACAGTAGTAAGTTTCTATATATGGTTTTTCAAATGGTCTTTAGTGTTAGTTGTCTTCCCCCATATTCCCTCCTCTACCTTTTTCTTCCATTCCCCTCCCTATTTAATCCCTCTACTGTGATGTCCTCTTTGTCTCTCCACTACACTATACAGCATCACATCAGTTGCCAGTTTAAAGACCAAATCTCCAAATAAGCTCACATTCTGAAGTATTGGGGCTTAGTACCTCTGCAGAAAAATTTTAAAGGACCACAGTTTAATCTATCATAGAATTTAGCCACAGAATCTACAAACACAAAGAGGGCTGATACAGTCCAAAGACGAACTTAGATTAAATAATAAAAAAGCTTCTTGCTCATTCTCATTGAGCATTCATTCTGTATCAGGACCCATTGTAGACACTATTTATTGAAAGAGAATTTAAATTGAGTTTTGTTCTTGAGAGACAGACCAAAAATAAAAGATTTAAACCCAAAGGGGAATCTGTGTTTACTATAATAATTCAGATCTTAAGTGTCCCTTAGAGTCCTGTGTGTTAAAGAGTTCATCCCTTGCTTGTGTTATGAGCAAGTGAAAATTTAATAAGAGAAGTCAAATGGGAGTTTTAAATTATGGCAACCAAGTATATCTAGCTACCAAAATACTAAATTTTTATTTCATTTATTTCACTTCTCCGAGCTGTCTGATCTCTTTTTCAAATGACGACTGAAAACAAGGGAAATGATTTTAACTATCTCACACTTTCATAGGGAAACACTGAATAGTATTTAAATGGAAGATAAATGTCAGTAAGGTACCGACCTATTAGAAACTGAAGCTGGTATGGCTTGGTAAATCTGCTTTCCTCTGTTTTGGGTGTGGGGAACTAAGGATTCAGGTCTAGGTTTCAGCTTTAAATGCAGTCAAAAATAAGAGAGGAGAGAAGAGAGAGGAGAGAGGGGAGAGATGGAGAGAGAGGGGGGGGAGGGACAGAGAGAGAGAGAGACAGAGAGAGAGAGAGACAGAGAGAGAGAGAGACAGAGAGAGAGAGAGATGGGTGGGTGCTCAAAGACTAACAACACTAACAACATCTGGCTTCTTAGGCAACTTATGAGCTTGACGGAAATGACTGCATCTTTGATTTCGTGATTTAAATTGGTTTCATAATTTCTTCGGAATAAGAATACAAACTCTACAAACAGCTCAAGTGGCCTATAGCCCAGGTGAAATCGGCCATGGAGTGCTTGCTGTTATACCCTAATCATACTGACTACATGTGTACTTTTGGTCAGAGTTCATAGATTTCCCGATTCACCTCACTTTCTCTACCTCACCCCTACTCCTAATTCTAAGGCAGTCTACTTATTAATAAAATACGTGAGTCTTCGTCTTTCAGGTCTTCTTTCTAGGAATACTAAGTGTGCAAGTTCAGTTTCCTCTGAAAGCAGAATCCAACAGGAAGATGCATCACAGGATGAAGCAGAGAAAGAAAGCAGAACTCGGAGGAGAGGAGAGAAAAGCAGTAAAACAGAGCAATGGTGAGGTAGCCCTGTGGACATCAAAACTGCTTCTTACTCTAGGACAACTTGTGAAATATTCCTCACAGTTGTCCCTTCGTTTATGTCATTTAAGATTAAAGTTAAACAGCCGAATGTCCTTCAGCAAAACATACACACTATGAGGCTAGAAAGAAAGCACGCCTCATCTGCTAACTGCCTTCTGCTCCTGCGGGTTGAAGGAAGCTTTTGAGGGCCTTACATCACAGATTTTTCTCTCTGCGAGTTCATCAAACCATTTGCCATGTCTGCTTTTCCTTCAGATGACCATGCCTCAGAAGACAGGCAAGAGGAGAGGGGCCTTAAGTTGAACTTTTGGTGATCGAGGGCGCATAGAGCGAGCAGAGTATCGATGTGTGCGACTAGACCGTCTCTTTTTCTTTCTCTGTGTGGGTAGAGAAGGAAACCATTTGTTTCTCTGGGTTGCCACACTGTACTGTTGTGAGCTTTCACTTCTGTCATCCCTGGTGGCTCTTTGGTTACTTCTGGTAGTCTCAAGAGAGTTCCTCTGGAGCACTCTCAAAGACAGGCTAGTGTCAGCCCCCACCCCCACCTCTCTGAAACCTTACTCAGGAGCCCCATCCGTGTCGCCATTCATGTTTCCGGTAGCCACTTTCAGGAAACAGTTCTGTTGCATCATTTTCATTTCCTGCTACTTTCAACCAATGACCACCACCTCAAGTCCTGTGTCCCATTTCTTAATCAAGAAAGATGCCCAAGATTGTGATAAGATTGACATAGACTCCATCAATCTGAGTCTTTGAAACCTAGTTTTAACCAATCTTTTGTCCTTCCTGTGTCCTGTGCTTACTACTGCTTACAAGGACATAGCAGCCTGAAGGACAAAATTCAGTGTTGGAGGGTCTTAGGTATGAATTATGGCTTCACCTAACCGTTAGGTTCCCTCTTCTACATGTTTTCCTGTATCAGGTCGCTTGGAGTCAGGGAGGAAATGCCAACGTTGTGGAGCTAATAGACGGGTCGCAGTGCATTTATTTCTGTTTAGTTTATAAATTTTTCTTCCTTCCAGAATCATTTACAACCAATAACCTTGGAGATGAAGAGATTACTACAACTTTCAACTCTTAGGTGTGAGTGTGTGGGGGTAGCCCACAGAGCTTGTTTCTCGCTTCTTACAGCCTTATTCATTCGGATACCGGGGACAAGTTGAAAAGATCTCAAATACTCGGGCTTCCCCTCCTTCCTCCTTGCCTCTATCCAAATCCAGGAGTTCCCAGAGAGTCCTAAATCCCTAAATAGAAAATAAGCACACCCTTATTAGGTACACACACACATACATACACACACACACACACACACACACACACAAAACTCTCATGTCCAGATTTGGAGTTTAGATGACTGACGTTTTTTCATGCAAATTTGTCCTTAGGAACTATAGTGTAGCTCTCATCTTGAGCATCTTTGTACACAGGATATTCAAAGGTTTCTTTCAAGGTCTATAAAATGTCATGATGAATGGTGAGACTAATAGATGATAGATAGATAGATAGATAGATAGATAGATAGATAGATAGATAGATAGATTAGCCTACATGTATGTCTGTGTACTATGTGAGTACCTGTTGCCTTTGGTGGCCAGAAGAGGGCATCAGATGCCCTGGAACTAGAGTGGAGAGGAGAGGTGGGGATTCTCCTGAGTCAGCACTGGGAAAAGTACATTCTTGGGTGGGGAGCAAGAGACACCACCACCACATGAACAGAGTGATGACGGAGAGTGTGATTTATTTTTTTAGCCAGCTAAATGCCTAGAGGAGGAGGAAGAAAACTTTGGAAACACTGAGGTAAATCACTGGATTAACCGT